CACAAGGAAGAGTACCAATTCCTGGTTGAGGAGAAGACTCCCTACCACTGACAGGGGAAGAAGAAACTGCGCCTGAACCTTCACCAATACCCTGGAAGTACCCAGGAAGGGCAGCAATTGTTAGTAAGCAAATGGTAAGAGAAGAACATGAAGAAAATATCTCCTTACCAGAGTTCGACCTTGAGGAGATGAATGAGGTTCATCAAGGGTAACTGTCGGGCAGGCAAACACCTGCAGAGTAGTTGCTTCTGAAGTCACAGGAATCTCAGGGACTATGGGTTCGTCACTTGTTGCCACTGATGGATGTTGTATTGAAGAAGGCTGAGGAGGAGGTAAACCAAAGTTAATATCGAAACAACGTACGGGAAATCACTGTAAGGATGGTTACTCACCAAATTACTGTCCTCGTCCACGAAGTGCAACATTACTCATGTGGATGGATCAAATTGAGAAGATGGAGTTGCCTTCAGGACAGAAGGAGAACCTTGACTAGGCAATGGGGTAGATACCCCGACCTGGATAAAGTCAGAAAAAGAAAAAGATCAGGCATTACCCCCAGAAATTATAAAAGTTACCTAAGGTTTAAGAAGAAAGGGAGTGTACCTCCGAAGGATTAACCCGAGGAGGGAGAGAGGTTTGTTTCTTGGGCAAGTGGTGAAGAGACCTCGGGCAGATGAAGTTTTTCGTTTCTTGCAACCTGACTCAAGTAACCATGCTCAGGGTTTTTGTGAAAACAGGAAAGACTATGCAGACATGAAAGTATACCGTACCTCAAGTTCTTTAAGGGGTGAGGTTTCGCAATTTTTCAGCCTTTTTATACATTTCAGCTCCTAAGGGTTCATCCTTGGAAGCGATGGTTGGTTTCTTTGATGCTTAAGGTCCTGTGTTCAAGAAAGACATAGGTAACTAGATAAAGAAGAAATGTGGCAACCTAACAAAAAAAGAACACAACTCACTTGAAGATTTTTGCTTCTTTATGCCCGCCTCAGCAACTGGAGCAGGAGGATCTGGAAACTTGAGATTTTGGACGGTTCCGGTTCTCTTACTCTTTCTAGTAGGGGTAGGAATTCGTCGTTTGGTCTTAGGTGGGGATGCAGGATCAGAATCTGAGTTCTCAATCATAACTGCTTTCCTTCACTTAGACACTTAGATGGTGGCTTCAGGCACTTCTTTTTTAGCTTCTGAATCTTTTGAAACATCCCCACCTTCTCCAGCTTCCCGCCTTTCAGCCTTTGCTGCAGCTCCGTGAAGAACTGCTGCATCAGCTGAGTCATCCTTGGACTCAGTAGGTACTGATTCAACATCCACTTGAGCTGCAGGATTAAGTAGGGAAAAAGTTAAAAGGGTTTAAGAGAAGGGTTATGGAATCAAGATAAGAAGAAGAAATACCTATCAAAAGAACCCAATTCTTCTCTTGAATCATCTCCTTCCAATTTTCAAGTTCACCCGAACTGGGGTATGATTTAAGAGAAAGTTGACCGAACAGGCGATCATGAGTCTCTCTCAAGTCTCCTCCATATTTCTTGGTCCATTTGTCTTCCCACCAAGAAGAGAAGAGTGAAGTGCATTCAAAATTAAGGATGACGGACTTTCGGGCAGCCTGACTCATGACTTCAAGACTGCGTCGGGCAACTCTAAAGGTCATCTCAGAGGGAGATACTAAGCGAAAAGAAGTGTCACAATGAACAGAGTCAAAAAATGGGATAGGGATGGTTTGCCTAAAGCCTAATTGCCTGCCGCAAAAGTTAGGGTGATACACCTCAAACCCTCGATCGTATCGATTGCCCCGAACTCCCCAGGCCATGTCTCTCGATTGAATGCAACTAATAAATTTTTCCCTACAAAATGAGGTGGCATCTTCTCCAGGAGCATCTGAAAATGCCTGGTCGGAGAACCAAGGATATCTTCTCAAGACTGACACACCCCATTCCAGGTCTGATCGAGTCCTACAAACCTTGAAGAAATAAAAGCAGGCAAATGTGGAGTGATCAGTAGGAGCAGCTTCAGCTAGAATTCGGGCAGGGGCCATACCTTCTGGGAACTCTAAGTTGGCAGCCCGAAACTCTGGAAATTACCATTGGAGCCATGTTTGTATCATCCATATGGGTCCATTCAGGTTAGTCTCAAATGGCTCGCCCTGAGTCATTTCGAAGAGAAGATGGTAAATATGAGAAAGAAAGAATGAACCTGTTGCTACATCATCGAAGTTATGAAGAGCTTCCACCAAGGGGATCCATTCAACCTTCACCCCTTTAGATTTATTGGGGAAGATGTGTTTATTGAGCCAGTATAAGAGGAAATACATGTGCTCTTGATCTCTATCAGCACGGGGAGAACCTGCTCCAAAATTTTCTTTTACAAAATGGATGAATCCCTTGAACGAGGTCTCGTAACTCTTGAAGGTTGCAGAGTTATATTCCAGTGAGATGAATGATGTGGATGAACCTGAGCTTTCAGCAATTGAGGGAAGAGCCCAGTCTTGAGTAACGTCTACTATCCTGCCCGACGGCCTTAGCCCAAAGACTTGAGCCATATCTAGAATAGTCGGAGACATGAGACCCATGCGAAAGTTAAAAGTATTTGTGCCCGAATTCCAGAAAAGAAGAGAGGAAGCAAGCGGTTCGGGCTTGGGAATAATGGTGGGTTTTTAGAGCATTATCAACTCGTAAATACCATTATTCATCCATTTCTTCTTAAAAATTGGCTCTAGTTCGTCAATCCATTGAGCCCAAGCTGGATCATTCATTAATGGAAAGCCTCGGCGATATGACGACCACTTAGATGAGGAAATGCCCGACCTAGCCAAATGGGGATTTGGAGAAAACCAGTTATCCTTGGGCATATTATCCTTCATCACTGCAGGGACCCGAGAAATCCACGCAGGACCCAACGACTGTACTCCATGTGCTTCAAAGAAAAGCTCAGAATACAAACCTGCTCGAGGGCGATGCAGGCCGTTGAGTAAACAGAGCAAAGTGGCGATGCCTTCGCCAGATTCGTATGATAGTTGGATTTGGCTGGATCCTGAAGCCATTTGATGAAGTTTGGAAATAAAACGACAAGGAAGAAACGACTGGAGGGTTAGGAAGTTTTCGATTACAAAGATAAGAAAAATGCAGGAGATTCGGAAGTGATGGGATTAGCCGAAGAAAGACGGTGATTGCTTTTGAAAAATGTGCAAATCCCGAGAACGAAAGCCGTGCGTATTAATAGAGACCTATTCAATCAATATTGGTGCCTGGACTTCCAGTCTAAATATTGATTGAAGGGGGCACTGTTTGGGTTAAAACTTGAACTTTGGGCTTAGAAGGGAGTTGGCCCAAAAAGAGAAGGAGAAGCCCGAAGCATAGCCCAAGTCCAGAAGGCAGAAAAGGCCTTTCCCGACTAGGTGCAGATCATTTGCACCACTTGCTCACCTACCCAAGGGTCAAGTGGTATAGACCAGCCAGCTAATCAGCCCAAAAGTACTTTATGGTGGCAGTACAAGTAAATAGCTGATAAGTCACTATCCTTCAAACTGCATTCGGGCAAGATTATTGCTACAGGAGGCCAAGCCAAAGTGTCTATAAAAGGAGAAAGAGAAGTCAGAGTTAAGGACACTCAAACAAACAAATACAAGCACAAACTCTGCTCAAAACCAGATTTGCCTTTAAAACGAAGATGTAGTAAGCCCAAGCCTTCATCCCTTTCGGGATAAACCTTATTGTAATAGCTCTGCTACCTTGTTCAACTCTTGTTGTAGTATCGATTTCTTTCTGTAAACTCACCTCACAACCCCTGTTCTAAACTTCCAAAGCTTCTGATAAACCACAAAGATAGGAAGTTGCAAGACGATCAGCCTTGCCCGACAAGGTTAAACCTTGCCCGACCCTCTTTGTTTTTGTCTTTTCATTCATTAGCCTAGCAATATGTTGTATACTACAAGTTGTATCCAAGTTATTTCTAGTAATATGGCTATTAAAAGACTCTATCTCAGCGCTTGAATCCGATTTGAATATGTCTTCACAGTTCAAGCCAGATCTAAGTTCTAAGCCCTCGGGCATATAAGATTTGATCACTCTAAAAAGTCCTTGGCCTCAAGGCATAAAAAAGAACCTGATGTGGACTTAACCCATCCACGACAAGCTTTGATAACAAGAAGTCCGAAGTTACTTGAGGCGCAAGTAATCGACCTGTCACTTAGTTTTATTTCTGTTATATTATGATTACCATATAACGTTGGAGTACGGGATGAATTCTGATGGGAAGCCTCAAGGCCTATTCAAGGCCCCACAAAGGCACCTATTCGAATTCATCCTATTTCTCGGGCGAGAACATTGAGTATAGAAGGAGTTCTGATGGGAAGCCTCAAGGCCTATTTAAGGCTCACAAAGGCACCTATTTGGATTCATTCTGCTCTTTGGGCTCAGGTAATCAGAAGTATGATGGTTATAAGACTCATATAACCAAGAAAAGGAACCTATGTGTTCGAGTACTAAGTTAGTTATTTATGAGAAGCCTCAAGGCCTACACCTAAGGCCCCACAAAGGCACCTGTCAATAACTAACATAGTTTCTCGAATATATATAATTAAAACTCAAACATCCGTTCTACATTTGCCATGCTGAAGATGGCAGTGGCACGACTGAACACTTAAAAGTTAATCTTGATTGTGAGCCTCAAGGCCTACACCTAAGGCCCCACAAAGGCACCTTTCAAAGTTAACTCTGTCCTTCTCGTTCAGCCTTACCCGACAAGCCTTGCCCGACATGCTTTGCCCGAAAAGCCCGCCAGTAAAGCAGAAGCCCGACAGAAAACATCAACCGGCGCCGACCTCTCGGGAAGCTGTGTGCTCGTCGGCCAGGAAGCATCCCCTACCGAAATTCCTACCACGAACACCGGCCAGGAAGCATCCCCTACAGAAATTCCTACCACGAACACAGACTTTAAAATGAAAGTTAGCTAGTCTAATAAAAATTTATCGTTTGACAACTCTAATAATATTAATCGTATAAAAAATAAAAAATAAAAATCCAAGCATTGGTGGAGAAGAAGTTCAGACAGAGAGAAAAACCCTTGGTAAAACCCATAACACGCGCACAACGGTCACCGCTCACAACACCAACCAATGAAGCGAGTTTGGAAGCTATCCGACGCCGCCCAATCTGAGCTCCTCTCCCGTCACAGATCCTCCGCTGCCGCCACCGCCTCCAAAACCCTACAACACCCCCCCTACGCTTTCACCCTCACCAACTCCCCAAGTTACAGATTAACCCGCGACGTCAATGCTCAGACCCACTCCTCCTCCGCCGCCGCCCCGTCTTCTTCTTCTCCGCTCATCTCCATGTCGAGCATCATTGACTTGTTCAGAGACAAGCCCTCGCCGCAAGACCTGAGGGCCAGGGAGGATCTGGCCCGGACGGCGTCGGAGTTGAGGGACGAATTGGTTCGGAATATTGGGGATTCTGAGAAGATTGTTAGGGTTTTGGAAGAGAAGGGATGCTCCTCCCTGTGGGAATGGAAGGACGGATTGGGTGTCGTTGAGCTTCTGAATCAGCTGTGTTCGTGGCCTCAATTGGCTCTGGAGGTAATTTCTCATATAAAAGTTTGAGACTTCAGATTTAAAGTTTGAAGCTTTTCAGTTTTAGTATGAGTTTTCGATTACTTAACTCGTAAATTAGTGTTCGTGGCCTCAATTGTATGTACAATTATGCAGCATGAAAGTCCACTAAATGGCCATTGTTATGCATTTGTTAACTCTGTGTCTGTTTCTATATGGGTCCATTTTCTGCTCAAAGTAGGAGTTTTCGACGGATAACATATTACATTTTCAGTTTGCCATTCACAATGTGTACACTTTTGTTGCACTAACTTGGAATCAGATTTTATAAAATGCAAGACCGGTCTATTCCCATTAGGGTTTGTGGCGTTAATAATCGAGTTTTAAGACTATTAAAAGACGGGAATACAATGGATTGGTTTGGTTTACGTGAGATATGCTTGCGTCTGTTGAAAATATGGTTAATCTTTACCGTGCTTTGCCCATGTTAATCTCAGGTAAAAATCTCTTTGGAAATGTTGCCGTTTAACTATCTATTTTCTTTTCATCTGTTGTTTGCTTATGTTATAGGTTTTTGAGTGGAGAAGACAGCAGGTTGCTAGTAGCACTTCTATGAGTGCAGAGGAATATGCCAAGGCTATTATAATAGCTGGTAAAGCTAAGAATGTAGAACTTGCCCTTGAGTTATTTACTGAGGCTATAAACAAGCGGATCAAGACAACTTCTATTTATAATGCACTGATGAGTGCCTATATGTTCAATGGTCATACTGCTAAATGTCAGTCTTTGTTTCGGGACCTCAAGAAGGAACCAGATTGCTGTCCTACTATTGTAACGTACAACATTCTTATTTCTGTATTTGGTCGTTTGATGCTGGTTGACCATATGGAGGCAACAGTCCGGGGTTTAAAGGATTTAGGTTTGTCGCCTAATTTAAGCACATACAATCATTTGATTGCTGGATATGTAACAGCTTGGATGTGGAATAGTATGGAAAAAACTTTCCAAAAGATGAAGGAGGGCCCTGTTAGTCCCGATATTAGCACCCACTTGCTAATGCTTCGAGGGTATGCTCATTCAGGTAATTTGGCAAAGATGGAGGAAACATATGAGTTGGTAAAACATCACGTAGACGATAAGGAAATGCCATTGATAAGAGCTATGATATGTGCATATTGCAAGAGTTCTGTGACAGACAAAGTGGAAAAGATTCACAAACTAATGAAACTTATACCAGAAAATGAATATAGACCTTGGTTGAATGTGAATCTGATTAAAGTTTATGCTCAAGAGAATTGCTTGGAGGCGATGGAGAAGTCAATAAATGAGGCATTTGAGCGCAAAACTGCTGTACATACTGCAGGTGTGATGCGATGTATAATTTCAAGTTATTTCCGATGCAATGAAGTGGACAGACTTGAAAGTTTTGTGAAGCGTGCAGAATTTGCTAGGTGGAGAACTTGCAGGTCCCTATATCATTGTCAGTTGGTCATGTATGCAGCACAAAACCGCTTAAAGGAAATGGAGAATGTGCTTATTCAGATGGAGAATTTAAACATGCCCTGTACCAAAAAGACATTCGTGATACTGTACAGAGCCTACTTAATGTGTGGTCAAAGATATAAGGTGGCACAAATACGAGGATTAATGTGGAAGCATGGATATGAAATGCCTTTTGATTCATTGTTATCATGATTCTCCACATCACTTTGGTAGAGCTTTTTGGATGGCAGAAATTGCGTAAACCTTTCAGAGAGTTTTGCGAATGGTTCATCAAATTCATAAGACACAGCAGGGGTTAAACATTATTCACAGGTACACATCTTCACTCGGATATTCGCTTGTTGGTATCGACTCCTTTTCTCTTTAGTCAGTAGTTTCCTGATTTTTTGTTGCATGTACACGCTTATCTGCTCTGAATGATTGCACACTATTTCCTGTTAATATGACTGTTAGAATCCTACGGTTCTCTATTATTTTCAATGTCCTCTTTTTTTCTCCTTCCCTTTCTAAGATGCTAGGTGACTGAGCGTTCTTATCTCATCATCTGGATGAGTGCCACACTGGATTCATTCAAAACAATAAATCAGCCAAACAAGGTTTTCTTTGTAAATAATTATTCATCCCCCCACCCATCGAACTGACCAATAAGTTATATTGATGGCATCCTATGATCATTGAAAGGAAGAAATCACGGAGCACATGCTTCAGGTTGCCACTTGAGAAGTGGAAGTGCGATCTGATTGAAATAATTTGTGCTGACGCATCTTGATTGGTAATGCAATAATTTCTTCTGTATATAAGTCCGCAATCTGTAGAATCAGTTAGTTGTGGTTGAATGATTTATGGCCTATCTATCATTGGTTGAATTGAACTTCATTAGAAACTAAATTTCTCTCTGATTCATTGATAATTATGCGTGGATGTTGAGATTAACTATTGATTTTATGATGGCATATCACTGCATTGGATGAATTTGGATTCATTGGAATTCAAGAATTACTTTTTAGATGCACATTTCGTGAACAGTGTGATGTGCTGACCTTGGTAACCCATGTTCCGTTGATCGTGGAACAATTATTCTTTAAGTGTGAGCGCCTATGTAGTCAGTGGTCTTGCCAAGAGATCACTCCTAGATGTGGTGTGTATAGTATACCCGCAGCTAAACCCGAACCAATATTTCTCAAGCCAGTAATGCATGCGATGCCAACGAAGGAACAAAGTGTAGATACTGTTAGTGAAGTCTATTAGAGCAAAGTGTATGCCGTAGTTACATGACTGGCCCTCGTGCAACTGCCTCTAAAAGAGGAAATTTATCCGTCTGCATATTTCTTTAGACGCTCGTAACTTCTTTAACTGCTTTTGAAACTTCTGTTATTTCAGTCTGTCATATCAGTTTATATTTGATTGGTTTTGTATATGCATACAATTGATCGACCGTGCTGGGTTGCAGAATCTGTACATTATTTCATGGACCAAGTGTACCGAAGCGCTGAATGCCTATGGAAATCCAAATAAGTCTCACCAAGACCTCTAAAGTTTCAAAGAGGGTTGCTGCCTGTCTTCCATCAGAAAGTTCCGGTATTTGTGCCTCAATTTACTGATGTATTTTAAAAAGGGATGTGCTATCCACACATTTCATTTTACTTCTCACACACCCCTTGATAATTTCTGTCTGTTGATCTTCTTCAATTCATCCGATCCGATGGTCGAAAATTAAATAGGTGTGTGAGAAGGAAAATGGGGTGTGTGGATATCACTCCTTTAAAAATTACGTTGACAGTGAAGAGTTAGTCCTTGCCTTGTTTGAAAGGCTGTAGGCTAGGGATAGGTTTGGTTTCAATCGGTTCGGATTTTTGACAAAATTGATAACCAAACCAAAATTGTTGCTTGGTTCGGTTCGGTTTTCTTCCATTTTTTCGGTTCGGTTTGACTTCACACACATGAAACTCCATACGTTTCCTTGGATCATATTGCAACGGATGAGCATTCCTATCAATTATAATTGTTAATCCGTCATCTGTCGTTTCATATATAAAGTATTGTGGTTTCCCTTGTGTAAGTAAAACTAATGAAAAGTCCAAAAAAAAAATTTAGTTTTAATGAAAAAAGACAGACAAAGGTATAGCGAATAGTACGGTAGTACCAAGGAAAAGTAAAAATGTGATTTTTCGTTAAAAGTGAATAGTATCATGAGTGTTTCGTTAAAATTCCCTTACATTTTTATGCGTTCAATCTCTCTTTATTTCCTTTTAGCTTTTCGTGAATTACAAATCTCCAAAGATTTATTCTTATCATGAAAATTGGATTCATTCCTCATTCGAATGTATTGATTTTAATCTTGCCCTCTCTTTGTTATGATGTATGTTTGTAGAAAACTCTTTTTTGTATGAATGTTTCATAATTACATAGAACGTTATCTTCGTCTACATCTTGGAACGATCTTTGACATTTAATACAGTTGAAACGATCACTGACATGTAATAAAGTTGGAGCGAGATTATGCATATACATTAAAATAACACGTATAATTTAGGGCTAGTTTGTATTGTTGTGCTGTGAGAATAAGCTCATTTTTGCTACTTCACGTTTTCATCTTTTTTTTTCACTCAAAATTGTGAAAATAAGCTGTTTTTAAGTGTTTACCAAACACATTTTTGAGCTTAGCTTTTTTTTTATACCCACTTTTTATAAAAGCACCTCAGTACTAAATCAGTACTTAGAATTGACCCAGCGTTGCATTCTTACTTTAAAAAAAAAAGCAAAAGATCTAAATAAATATGTAACCAACCCTAAAAATAAATCTAAATAAAGAAGTTGTTTGGTATAGTGATACAACAGTATCTTCATAGACATTCAAAAAAATTAAAGGAAAACTAACGAAAAATCCAAAAAAAACTTTAGTTTTAATGAAAAATGACAAATAAAGGTGTAGTGAACAATACCATGAAAAGGTAAAAATGTGGTGTTTCATTAAAACCCTCAAAATTAAATCAATTACTAACATTTAATATAGTTGGAACGATCATTGCCATTCAATAAAGTTGGAGCAAAACAACGCCAAATACATAAAATCAAAACGTACAAATTTAGAAATGAACCAATTTTGAAAAAAAGTGAAGGGTCTAAGTAAAGAAGTTCTTGGCATGGTGATACCGTGATACAGCGTATTCACCAACATCCAAGAACATTAGAACGACCATTCATATTCAATATAGTTGAAACGATCACTGGCATCCAATAAAGTTAGAATGATTATTGACAATAACATTTTAAAACCAACCCAATATTTCATTTGCCTTTTCAAACACAAGTGGAAAATCTAAATGATGAACTTACTTGGCAATTGACATGGTGATACGGTACTATCTTCATCGAAATCCGAAAACACTGAAAGAATAATTGACATTCAATAAAGTAATACCTACCACTAATATTCAATAAAGTTGGAACGAACCCACGCTAACACATAACAACAATACGCACAAATCAAGAAACGACCCACTCACTCATTTTCCCTTTGAAAGAAGTGAAAGATCTAAAACAAGGAACTTGCTTGAGATGGTGCCTTTTATTCCATAATGGGTGAAAGGTTGAAACTAGACCTAACCAATTAATGTACTCCTAAATCTAATTATTGGGAAAACCTTTTACTTAATCATTCAACCAACAAAATTAAACGTACAAAATTAAAGAAAAATAAACCTCCAAAATTTTCCACATAAGACAAAAACGAGATGTGAACACGGCGGACCCACCAAAAAATTAGATTAATTAAACGCGGGAAAAGTGAAGGGGAGGTGGAGACCAAAAAAAAAATTAAGGGTTTTGTCGTTATCTGCACATTGCCATTTAAAAAAAAGTGGATTTTGTTGACAAGGACTTAATGTGTCGTATTAGGGAATAACTCCAAACATTAACAGCTAATCAACAAAGGACAAGTCATAAGACGACGTTGAGAAACAAACCACGACAAGTCGAGCACGAAATCTCCCGTTCATGCTAACAATGTTCCACACGTGTTCGTCGTTTGGTCCGAACAATGTGTTTCATCTTTTTTGTAGTCAAGAATTCGAGATTTAGTTTCTCTTGTTGTAAATTATATTCATGTATAATATATGGAGTATTGTTTTTTTATAAACAAATCATAGTCTAACACGTTATGTTTTTAATCCTTCACTTTTATATGACGTACGTATGGAATGACTCCTTAGATGAAAAAGTCATGCAATATTCATATAGTAGGAACACAGATGTTAATTGGTTCGTCTCCTTATAGTCGAGGTTGAATTTCTTTTCTGTAGATTATTGTTTACATATAAGGAATACTTTTTTTCTTGTAAACAAGGAACAATCACAGTCTAACGTATATGCGGAATATTTTTTTTTTTTGTACTTTTAACATACTCTCTTATAATTTGTACCTACATAAAATGAATAACTCCTTGACAAAAAAGAGCAAGCACAGTTCCCAATAAATAATAAAGTGAATGAAAGAATTCGACGAAACCTAATTAAAGCATAAGCAGAGTTTCCAACGAGGGCTGGCTCAGCTGGTAATATCTTTGCCTTGTGTGTCTCCCCACCAAGATTTTGAGTGTTGCTGCCAGTCGTCCTCGTTGGTGCGCGATTTGTAAACTTCAATGTAAATCCTTTTAACTTGAAGTAATGGATGTTATCCTAGCGTTGGTGATGAGAGTAACCCATCTCTGTCTAAACTTTGGTGGATCGGATAAGCATAAGAATACATTCAACCTTTGTAAAGCAATGCAATAGAGAGTCATGAGTCAAGTAAGGACAGGGTTCCATGTCATTGTCCAAAGCCTGGCTGTGTTTTTCTACCACTTAGTGGCCATTAAGCACTCAAAAGCAAATCCCAAAAATCTTATTAAATTTGTTTGCTTGTTTACTTGTTTGTTTTTTATCCATGGGTTTTCATATGTGGTCCCTTTGGAATACATCCAAAATTCCCAACCACTACCAACTAGATGACTCTCCCCACCACCTAAAAACAAACCAATTCTATGCATTTGCCATTATCCCCAAATTCCAAATACAAATTGAGATCCACTCCGAGTTTTTGTGTTCAGAGGTCGCATATCAAAAGATTTGGACAACTTAATTTTAATCATCTGATTCCTATTAACTTGTCTCATCGGCCCATTTTACAAAAATATAAAAATTTGAACGGCTTAGATCTCTTTCTCTATTTTTTGAACGGTCTATATCTCTTGGTCCGCGCGGTCCAAACACAGAGATTTAGAGTGAATTGATCGAAATCCGTATTTTTACGGATAAAAACTAACATAAAATGGATTATCGCTCTCGTGCGTTCTATTTTAATAGTAATTGCCTTGCAGAGAATAAATATACACCTAATAACGCGCTATCTATCTAAAACAATAGATGATAGTGAGCTCGTTCGATTTAAGTTCTTCTCCGGAATAAGAATTTACCCAAAGAGATGGAGAGAGATGAAGAAATCCACGATTACAAACGCTGCTCCAATCATTTTTTCTCACTCAATTTTCATGTCCTTTCTGATGAATAAAAGAAACAAGAAAATTCCCCCATCTTTTATCTATTTTTTGGTACCATCTTTTTGATGGTTTTAAATCCTTAAATGGAACATGAAAAAGAAATGTTTCATCTGCTAAAAAAGTGGAAATAATCACTTCCTTTTCCTCAAGTCATATGCCACTATCTCAATTTGTGTGGTGGTGAGGATGGTGTGGTTGATTACACTTGGCATCGAAATTTCACAAGAATTAAATAACGCGAATAAACGTTTTGTTAATAGAGATTTTGCTGTTTAACCGAAGATATATGTCATCTTGCATTTACCTTTCTTATCTGCGATGTATCCATACATTTACTATACGCTCATCACATGATTGTAGATACTTAATTATGAGAGTTATAAATACAAGGAATATATTCAAGTTGTATGAAAAAAATCTTTTTTTTTTTTTTACACATTCAAAACTCCCAAGGCGTGATATATCATCTTGTACATGCGGCTATTCTCACGTATCTGCATTTCTCTTTACTGTATACGTTTGATAAAAATTGTAAACACAATTAATAATATATTCGGTTGCACGTAAGAATCTCTCGCTGTTTCGTAGCGTTGAAATATCAGTGTCCTAATAAAACATGCAAAAGGCATGCACTCAAATCAAGCATAATCTATCATGTCACGCATAAAGACACAAAACGCAAACAGAGTCAAAGCTCCTCACTAGAAAGGCGTGATTGAAGTTGGCAAAATCCAGAAAAATCAAAAGAAAAGCAAACCAGATTACTACCTAAACAAAGCATTAATGGAAGATTAGGAATCGAGATTAAGTTCAAATATCAAACGAAATCTTTATAATTAAGCCTAATTTAACCTAATACAGTACACGAAGTATAACATTTTATGTTCATACACAAGAAGCATTATGCTCCACAGTTCATATTTTTCAAATTAGTAGTGCTTATAATAAAACCATGTACTAAACAACATATTAATCGACCACCTAACGCTTCGAGAGGAACTTACATGCATCGGGAATGCCACTTTGGCGGCATCCCAAGCCATCACGCACTGCCGTATGTTTTTGGGATACCGCCAGCATCTCCGTTGCAAGTTCTACAACGATGCTTATCATCAATCATGCTGGAAGTAAGCTCTTACATCCAGTGGCTACGCCGAATCCGGTAAACGAGTTCCGATCCTTCCAAGCCGCCGAAACAAGAACATGAACGAACGGTTCCGAGGCAGCAGAAGAGAGCTCTCAAATTACCTCAACAAAATGGTAAATAAAGTAAGTAAATACTAGACAATCTTACAACTACACACGACAGAGCACCCGAGTAAAAATGTCAAGCTTTTTTGCTACGTATCAATGGCTGCCTTGCGGGTAAAGTTAAGTAGAATCAATCTATTAACAGTCAGGATTCACGAAGCTCTTCACCTCCTCCATGAGGCAGTAGAAATGCTCGTTGTTCGGCAAGAAGTAGAACCCGATCGTCGCCTGCTTTAAGAACCGAAGCTTCACATCCTGCCCTGCGTTTTTAAGCCCTTCCACATAAGCCAATTGCCAATCTTGCATGAGATCGAAACCGGCCACAACAACAAGACTCTTGGGAAATTTCAAGCCCTCGAGGCTCTTGTCCCTCGGGCCGAAAACGTGACACGCCGGATGATCTCTGTCTTCGCCTTCTGGCAGAAATGCCCGCCAGTACCAATCACGGTCTTGTATTGTTACGAAGTACTTCCCATCCAATCTCTTCTCTGTTTCTGTTCTCTTCTGCCCCCCAAACATCGGGTGGAGAAGGATGTTTCCGAGCACCTCAACCTCCGCTTCTGCCGCCTTGACTGCGACGTGGTGAGCAATGTTGCCGCCCGAGCTGTCTCCAGCTAGGTAAACGTGAACTTTCGAGTTCTTACCCTTCCCGCTCTGCAGCCACTTTCTCGATTTCACCCACTTGAGAGCCGCCCATCCGTCTTCATAAGCACAAGGATACCGATGTTCAGGCGAACGGCGGTAGTTTACAGAGACTACAACAGCCTTGCAAGTGTTGACAAGGCGGCGGCAGAAGGTGTCGTAGATGGCGCTGTTGGCTGAGGAATGTGTGAAGCTTCCGCCGTGGAAGAAGATTATGACCGGGACGACCTTGGTGGTGCTCAAGGGCTGCTCAAGATCCGAAATGCCCCATTGCGACTCGTTTTTGGGGGCAAATTTATAAACACGGTTGAGGAGGCCGGTGGCTGTGTCGACGTGATCAAACGAGAAAACCCCGTCAACCGGAGTTACGTTGGCGGGGACTTTCCGTTCGAGGAACTCCGCCAGCTCGCGGTTGAACGTTCCGTCAGCGCGGCGGAGGAGGTTGTAAGCTAGCTTGAAATTGGAGATTAGTACCCATGTGTTGAGCGGAACAACTTTCTGCCAAAAAAAAGGAAAGAACTAGAGAAATTAGAAATTAATCCATCAAAAACTCCTTGTTTTTCAACAACAAAAATGGAAGAATTAGAAAGAACTACGAAAATTCAAGCCCCTTGAAACCAAATCAAAAAGGAAAAAAGATAAGAAAGAATCCAACTGAAATTTTGAACTTTGCCCCAAATGAAAGTCCGAAAAACAAAAACTAAGAACGAAATGGTTATCAAGACGAGTCGTCTTGCCAGGCAACCCAATTTAGAAATAGAAAGAAAAAAAAGGGGTCAAATTTGAGAAAAATAAGGAGAGAGAGGAACTACCTTGGATTCATTGACGCTGACTTCATTACTACCAGCCATGTCTCTATAATCTCTGTATCTCTCAAACCCAGCAAGACTTTCCGAAACCCAGCAAGAAGGGCTCAAAACCAAGCGAGTACGCTGAGCCAAACGACCCCTTTGATGGACACACGAGCAGAGCTGCTGGGTTTGGGGACAGGACGTGATGGGTTTACCGAAGGGAGCAGTGGACTTTTGTTTCTCTCTGCAGTGCGAAGTGCTGGGTTTGTTGTACTTGAATCGGATTGAATTTTTTGATTCCTCGTTTTGGGTTTACTGAAGGAAGAGCGGTGAGTAGACACTTGTAAGAAATAATAGAGCACAAGGGGAGAGAGAAAAGATATCACTGTTTAGAGAGAGAAAGAGAGAGAGTACATATTTAAGAGAGAGAGGGAGCGGGAGGTTGAGAGTCAAACGCAGAGGAACGACGGTGGTGGAGACGGGGACGAGAGAGACGACAAAGCGGGCGGCCAAATTCACTGTTCAATGGGACCCACTTTTTGTATGTTTTTTTTTTTTTTGCTTTCTGCTGCTGGTTTTTTTTAGTTTTAGAGAGAGAGAACGAGAGAGAAGGGTGTGCGTTGTGGCGTGGTCGCTAGCGCGAATGGGTTAAAAAGGTCGGAATGGCTACTGACACTTATGTTTTGGCTTCACACTGTATTTTTGCACTTCTTTTTTATTTAATTATTTTCTATTTTCTCATAAATAATAAGATGTCGTTGTAAATGTTTTTCTGTTTTGGGAATTCGGATCCTCTCGAACCTTACATTTCGGAGTTTAAGGACGAAGAAATTCGGATCTTTGGCTTGTGCAAAAGGAAAATTGGAGCACTTAGTTTGTGTGAGGTTGGCTAGTGGATTGGGGACAGTCGGATTCAATTTAAGTGGTCTAAATTGTTCAGTCTTTGAACTCTGGATAGTTAAATCCAGAACGAATCTCAATTGCTATTTTGGTATTTACAAACTTCAAAAATTATATCATTATTGTGTTTTAGATGATTTAGTTTATGACCTCATTTTGAGATATATGAGCCTTGAACAAATCTCATTTGTTACTCACTTTTTAAACTTTCATATGTATTAACCTGGTTGATTAATAGTGGATTGATTTAGGTATAAATTATCATTTAGAGCTTTGACTTCAACTTTCTGGTGTGTGTGTGTGTTTTTTTTAACAACCGATATCCACATTAAGGGGTGGGAGAATGCGTTAAACCTTACAATGGGCTAGCAATAATGTAGTTCAAATTCGTCTTCGACGAGAATCGAACCTAAGACATCTCACTTACAATGCGATACTTTTCTTTTAAAATGTTTTCACTACTCGTAAATTTGTTTTCCTATTCCTTAGTAATAAGAACAATATGTGTTAAATTATCGCTATAAAATGAGAAGCCAAAAACAACTTTTGAACTATATTCTTTCATCTCATATATCTTCTACATTTTTTCTTGTTACTCTTAACTCATGACATCATATCACACATATTATATGTGCAAACTTGTATACTATTTTTTACGTATGTTTTTTACCAACAATACAAAAGGCAAGACACAATGATACGTATCACTCAACGACACAAGTTTAATTTAAGACATAACTATCTCAAAGATATATTACAACACTATATGTAAGATCTAATTTAATTTTTTTGACAACTCAGTAATACTTACTATGAAAAAATTGAAAATTAGTATAATTTTAAAAGAAAAATAAAAGCTTTATTTTTTTTGGTCAAAAAACAATATAAGCTTTGAGTCTTTTTGGTGCACTGAATATACTTTTAGAAAATTCAAAAAGAAAAAAGAGAAGAGTTTCCTGAGTGTGTCCAACGCGATACCACGCGACGACAAAGGGTTCTGTCCCTAACCACCAGGATAAAATTTTGATTTTATCCTTGTCACATCCTTGAAACCATGAGCCTACCATTGAGCACGACACGATATTGTCCGTTAGTGGAAGGCACGTGACGACATTTTTTTATCACGGGTAAACTGCTATTTGACTCCTTGAACTATTATTCCAGTTGAAATTAACCCCCTGAATTATTTTTTTGGTAAATTAACCCCATGAATTATTTGAAATAAGCCAATTGACCACTTGCCGGTATATTCCATCCACTATTTCGTCAAATTCAAAGAAAAATTAGTCATTCCTTCATCAATTCTTACTTGTCAACTATAACCAACAGTGTAATTATGACATTTGAAAACAAAATAATGTGTGATAACAATGTGGATGGTCCGTTATGTAAACGTTTGATTTTTTATGTTTTCTCATTATGCTATATAATTTTGAATTATTTTGTGTCCATGTGTCAAATTTTATTGGTGGTTATAGCTGACAAGTAACAATTAAAGATGAAATGACTAATTTGTCCTTGAATTTGACGGAATTGATTATGCAATCTAACGGCAAGGGGTTAATTGAATCATTTTAAATAATTCAGATGGTTAATTTACCAAAAAAATAGTTCAAGAAATCAATTTCAATTGGAATGATAATTCAGGGAGTCCAACCGCAATTTACCCTTTTTGTCACAGCCCGAGGGGACTATTAACGGAGCTCTTTTCAACAAAATTTAAAAAATAATAAAAGTTATTTATAATGGGGGCTTTGAGTTTTGTTGTATTATCTGGAGCATGTTCAATCCATCATAGGCTACGAACACGTGGCGATTGGATACTTCTAGAGTTTTAAGGATGGGGCCCACATGGGAGGGCCTTATTCTAAAAGGTTGATACGATGAACTCGGTGGTGGAACCCTTTTTGAAGCTCTTCTCTTGTGAGAAATTTTTCAGTGCACCACGGCTCTGCACCAAATGTAAAAATATAAATGATTTGAATTTTTATTTATAGAATTGAACTATTTGTATTATGATGTTTGTTGTACTGAAACATGTTTTTGGTATAGTAAATATCTCATTTAATCGATGATGTTCACCGGACTATGTGAGTGTGCCACGTGGCCCTCATGGTTTGGCTTTTAGGAGATGATTGATCAAATATTTCTTTGAGGCGACACTTTATGTTGAGTAATGCAAGATAGATTAAATTTGGAAACATAAACATAGATAATTGATCAGATATTCCCGATGATGTTTGTTCACCAGACTATGTGAGTGTGCCACGTGGCCCTCATGGTTTGGCTTTTAGGAGATGATTGATAAGATATTCCTTTGAGGCAACACTTTATGCTGAGTAATGCAAGATAGATTAAATTTGAAACATAAACATAGATGATTGATAAGATATTCCCGATGATGTTCACGGGACTATGGCTAATTGTTTTTATGCTATTGTTTGGTGATGTTGATATGTATGAGTTTCACATCGAAGAAGTAAAATGTTTATAGTAATTTAAACAACTTGGAATTTCGTTCATGGACGGAGTTAATCAAGGACTATTGGGGGCAAATGCCGCTACTCAAGTAATTTATTATTTAGCTACATACAACAGATACACACACACACACATATATATATCATCATTTGAAATTATCTCCATTATCATTTGAATTTGGATCCTCCCGAACCTTATTTTTCGAAGTTTAAGGATGAAGAAATTTGGATCTTTGGCTTGTGCAAAAGAGAAATTGGAGCACTTAGTTTGTGCGAGGTTGGCTAGTGGATTGGGGATAGTCGGATTCAATTTGAGTGGTCCAAATTATCTAGTCCTTGGACTCTGGATAGTTGGATCCAGAGCAAATCTCAATTGCTATTTTAGTGTTTACAAACTTCAAAAACTATACCATTATTGTATTTTAGATGATTTAGTTTATGACCTCATTTCGAAATATATGAGCCTTGAACTAATCACATTTGTTACTCACTTCTTAAACTTTGATATGTATTATCCTGGTTGATTAATAGTGGATTGATTTAGGTATAAATTATCATTTAGAGCTTTGACTTCAACTTTCTGGTGTGTGTGTGTGTTTTTTTTTTTTTTTGAACAACTGATATCTACACTAAGGGGTGGGAGAATGCATTAAGCCTTACAATGGGCTAACAATAATGTAGTTCAAATTCGTCTTCAACGAGAATCGAACCTAAGACATCTCACATACAATGTGATACTTTTCTTTTAAAACGTTTTCACTACTCGTAAATTTGTTTTCCTAAGAACAAAATGTGTATGTTTTTTACTAACAATACAAAAGGCAAGACACAATGATACATATCACTCAACAATAGCACAAGTTTAATTTAAGATATAACCGTCTCAAAGATATATTAGATCACTATATGTAAGATCTAATTTTTTATTTTTTTTTTGACAACTCAGTGATACTTACTATGAAAAAATTGAAAATTAATATAATTTTAAAAGAAAAGTATAAGTTTTTTTTTTTGGTCAAAAAACAATATAAGCTTTGGGTCTAAAATTTTTGGTGCACTGAATATACTTTTAGAAAATTCAGAAAAAAAAAAGAAAAAAAAAGAAAAGAGTTTCATGCGTGCGTCCAACGTGATACCATGTGGCGACAAAGGGTTCCGTCCCAAAACACCAGGATAAAATTTCGATTTTATCCTTGTCACATCCTTGAAACCACGAACCTACCATTGAGCACGACACGGTTTTCGTCCGGTAGTGGAAGGCACATGACGACATTTTTTTGTCACGGGTAAACTGCTATTTGACTCCTTGAACTATTATTTCAGTTGAAATTAAACCCCTAAACTATTTTTTTGTAAATTAACCCCATGAATTATTTGAAATAAGCCAATTGACCCCTTACCGGTATTCCATCCACTATTTCGTCAGATTCAAAGAAAAATTAGTCATTCCTTCATCAATTCTTACTCGTCAAACAATGTAATTATGACATTTGAAAACAAAATAATGTGTGATAACAATGTGGATGGTCCGTTATGTAAACGTTTGGTTTTTTTATGTTTTCTCATTATGCTATATAATTTTGAATTATTTTGCGCCCATGTGTCAAATTTTATTGGTGGTTATAGCTGACAAGTAACAATTAAAGATGAAATGACTAATTTGTCCTTGAATTTGACAGA